CGGGAAGGTCCCTTGTGTGGGTTGTTTGATCCCTTCTGTTGTAGTTGAATCTTGATTGCTGCTTGCCCATTTGTGGGTGGTGTTGATCATTAGGCTGGCTGACTATGATGATTGACCTCAACAACAGTGTATGAGCTGCCGTGCAGGTGCTGACCACACAAAGTGGAATTTGCTCCAGCAGATTCTGGTGCCTATTGTTGTACTGCTTATGGAGCTAATTGCCTCATGCTATAATGTAGTATGAAGCTTGCCACTGAGTTTGTTGGTTCTGAGGGCTGTTGGGAGGGTCTCTGGTGCAAATCAATGTCAGACACTGCCTGTGACTGGTCCTGGGATACCTGTTAGGAGCTACAAAACAATCCACAGTTTGTGGCTACCTCTGCTGGGCCTGGATGTGTTGGGGAGGGCCAAGCTGCATACCAAAGGCAGCTTCCACAAGTACCAACCCTGGCAGCAGGTCAGTAAAAGCCCAAGGCACCCTGAGGTCAGCTTATGCCTACCAGCTCATGGTAGTCTCAGCCACTGAAAAAGCTATGCTAGTTGTATGATGTAGGTTCTCAGTGAGTTACTAGGTAGGGGCAAGTGATGTTCACCAGGTTGATAGAGATTAACTTTCAGCTACAGTGATGGGTCTGGGGATACTCAGTGAAATTCTCAAGGTATATCAAGGCCAGCTGCCACTTACCTGAGCCTATGGGCCCTTGTGATAAGGCAGGGTCTCAGGGAGTCATCAGCATGAGACCAGTAGAATTTCATCAGGTAGTCCAGATGTGGCTTCTTCTGTAAGTCCTGATCACAAAACTTCTGTACAGCTAGACTTCAGTTGATTATTCGAGTTGATTGTTCTATAATGTAGTTGTAATTCTGGTTTTGTCCTGACAAGGGATGAGTGTAACTTCCACCTGCTCTCCTGACATTTTAGAAACTCACCCTTGCTTTTATTAAGGCTCACTGAGTTTGAGGACTTACGTAACACATGTGATGTTTAGTTTTATGGTCTTCTTGGTGAGCTATAGTCCCCAGTTATTTAATCAAACAATAATATGTGTTGCTGTGAATGTATTTTGTAGATGTGAATAACATTTATAGTCAGTTGAATTTAAGTAAGTGTTACTCTTGATAGTGTGGTTGGGCCTTATTCATTTAGTTGAAGGCCTTAAGAGCAAATTTTAAGTTTCCCAAATAAGAAATTCTGCCTTAAGACTGCAGCAGTGTTCAGGCTGTCAACTTTCCCTATGGATTTCAGACTCAAGATTGTAACATTGACTCCTGCTTGAGTTTCTAGTTGGCAGACCTGCAATACAGAATTCAGACTTACCAGTCCTAAATTGCATGGCCAATTCCTTAAATAAATCTCTCTATTCATAAATACTAGTAGACATATATATGTATACTAGAAGCCCGGTGCATGAAATCCTTGGACTGGAGGGGGTAGGGGGGGTCCCTCAGCCCAGCCTGTGCCCTCTCGCAGTCTGGGACTCATCACTCCTTACCACCCACCTGCAGCAGAGGCGGGAGAGGTTCCTGCCCCCACCACTGTGCTCACCAGCTGTGAGCCCGGCTTCTGACTGAGTGGTGCTCCCCCTGTGGGAGTGCCTGACCACCAGGGTTCAGCTCCTGTGTTGAGCATCTGCCCCTTGGTGGTCAGTGTATGTCATAGCAACCTGTCATTCTGCCGGTTGTTCCACCATTTGGTCAATTTGCATATTAGGGTTTACTATATAGGATATATGTACACATATTAAGTTTGAAAGAGTTACCTGTATCTCAGGTATAACATCTTTTTATGAGTAGATTACTTAAGCTAGAACTCTATCTTGCAATGGGGGGAGGCCTCGTCTTGCATGGACACAGTGCTGTTGCTGCCTAGCAAAGTGATGCCCAGTGCCTGGCACCAGGTGTGAATCCCCTTGTACCACTCATGCATTGCCTCTGAATTGAAGTGGCAAACAGGGTTACCTGGAGGTCACAATCCCACTGCTGCTTTCCAGCCCCTGGAACTTTTAGTGGGGGAAATAATGCACTCTGCTAGGTTACAGAAACATATTTTGCTAAGACTTCTCTTTTGAAACATTTTTACTGTTAGGGTCAACATGGGGAGTGGAAGTATGACCAGATTGGTAGAGGATGGATGTAGACACTAGAGAGTGATATTCTGGACCGTGGTCCTGGTGTGAACCTGTCTGAACTATCTTCCCCTAAAACCATCTGGACCACGGTCCTGGTGTGAACCTGTCTGAGCTATCTTCCCCTAAAACCATCTACTGGTTCTTATTGCTATCCACATAGCAGATTAAAGATTATCCTGGATTATGTGGGTGAACCAACTCTCACTGTGGTTCTTAAAAGTGGAAGAGGAAGGCAGAAGAGGGAGAACCAGAGATAGCAGTGTGAGGACTCATCCTGACATTACTGGCTATGATGGTGGAGAAATGAAGCTATGAATGATGAATAATTCTGATATTAAACATGTACCATCCAATATCTTGATTTTAACCCAGTAACATCCATCTGGAAATCCTGACCTCCAGAACTATAAGAAGATAAGCTTATATTGTTTTAAGCCATTCAGTTTGTTGTAATTTGTTACAGAGGCAACCGAAAACGAATACATTAAATGACAAAGAAAGTTTTTATAGCGATGGATCACCTAGAAACCTGATCTGTAAATTAGAGAACAATTAAAATCCACAATAAATAACAACCACTGAGTCACTGAATTATTTTAATCTTTTATTTGAAACAACAATAAAACCAGTAAATAGTATATAGCCACTCATTGTATTGTACAGTCAGAATTTCTTCTCACAGGGCAATGATGAATTCCATCCAAGCCATCTGTCCAGGACAGATCCTCCCTCTCATGGGTATCCCAACCATCTTCTTCATCTTTTGATTTGCCCTACATTAGAAGTGCTACACACTGAAGAGCAGCATGTTCAGTATGGATAGAACTCTATACACCCCACCAAAAAATTTAAATCTCTTAAAAATATTGGCATCTTCATTTTCCTTTCAAAACAAAATGACTTTTTCCTCACGCTTACCAAAACTCCTACTTTGATGTCTATGTAACTGGGCTCAGATTTAACTATTCTAGAGAAGTCAAAAGCTTAAATTTGGGAAACAAAACTGTCACTCTCCTCCTCTAAGTATAACTTCAGTCTTATCCTCCAACCAGTCCAGCTGCTGAAGTACTACACAGGTTGAACAAATCTCTCATTATTGTGTCTACAACACCTTCTTCCATGAGAGTGATTAATTCAATCTAGGAAACTCCTATTTACCTCATCAATCTTAATGTCCCATTCATACCTTCTAGATATATGCCCTGAACAGTAGAATTCCTAAACTTGGAATCTGGTGTTCCCTCAGAGGGCATTTTCTAACTTTCTCACACCATTGAATTTCAGTTCATCCCTTTAAAGGCCTTTGTGATTAGAAACATCAACAAGATCTTCCAAAGACCATATCCCATACGCAAGGAGGGATACCCATGTTTTTAAAGGTAGGACCAAAATTCAATCCCTCAGTGTGATGTGAGATAGCCCCTTAGTACAATTATTTTGTTCATAACTAAGGTATAAGTTGTTAAAGATTCACTGCCTGAAAGGCAGGGAATGTCTGGGTTACAGAGATGGTACATGTTTAATATCAGAATTATTAAATCTCAGAATCACAGGGAACTCTAACAGAATATGGCCAACCCAGGATCCATGAGACTTTTACCCAGAAGCAGATCATATGCAGGTGCACATTTCTGACAATGTATCAAATCAGTCACAAGTAAGACTTTCAAATCCTACAAATCCATTTTAAAGCATGTATTGATGTCTTGCGATGTTTCTATTTCTCTCTCCCTCTCCCTTCCTCTCTCTGAAATAAAAACATTTTTTATTAAAATAAAGCATTTACTCCTTGCTCATTGAAGGAATAAGGCCACCATGTTATAAGGTGCAGAGAAGTAAGAGAAATATGGAACTAGTATTATAGTGTTAAATGAAGAGGATTGTTCAAAGCTTCAGTTAAAGTTCTGGTAATCAATGTTTCTTTGAGGCAATGCAAGCATCCCTCTAAGAAGACCAAAATGGCAAAGTGGGATCAGTTAACCAAGAACAGCTTGCTAGCAGACAAATAGGAAAAGTTGGTCAATTTCTTGAGGGCGGATCAACTTCTCCATCCTCAAGGTTTAAGCTTAGTGATATATAGTCCCTTCGGCATAGAGGGAAAGGAGGTCTTTAGCAAACAATTTGTAGACTTGACTTGGTGTTCAGTCTCATCTACATATGCCCAAAAGGATTCATAATTTTCCCTCTTTATTTATTGCCAGGATCCCAACAACTACTTTTTTATTGCTAGGACCTCAACAACTGTTTTATTTTGTTTTGCCAGGAATCCAGAATCTACTTTTCTATCAAATTGCTAAGTATGATCAGCAGAAGAGTAATTTTGTGTGTGTGTTTTGATATTAACAGGTTTCCAAAGAAAATACATACATGAATATAATAAACAAAAGATGTAGTCAAACCTCATTACAAATATAAACATTTCAAATATACATCAAAGAACACCAATATACTATACACACTACAGTGGTGGTTGTCCTACTTTCTCAACATGAAATTGCTACCCATCCCAACCCCAGAGGTTCTGAATAAGTAGTTTTATAACAGAATAAGAATTTTCATTTCAGCAAGTTCCTCCATGCTCTTGATGCTGTTGGTTCAAGGACTGCTGTTGGAATCCACTGCATTAGAATATGGAAAGCACAATTCTAGTCTACTAGCAGGAAAGGATGTTTAGCAACTGGAACTGTGGGATTGAGGTGTCTATATGAGGGTTAGAATGGAGATTTGCCATAAGTGTTTCTGCCTTAACTTTGGTCCTAGATGCTAACTGCCTCTGCATCTTAAGCTAAAGCTCAGAATTTTCTTTCCATGGGAGAAGTGGTAGCTAGTGAGGCAGTCAAGCAGATTTGTGCATCTAGGAGTTTGTCCTTCTTATTCTTTCTGATGGTTTTCCCCTGCCTTTGTGCTATGAGGCTGGGAGTTCTCTTCCCTTCCTAACAGCTCTTCAAAAATCTTATTGTGCATGTAAAAGAAGATGTACCCAGTGCGAAGCCTAGCCTCCTGCATCAAATCTTCCTGGATACTTGATACCTGCATATCATTATAATTGAACCAGACTTTCCTCTCAAAGTCATAGGCATCACTGATATAATGGCCTGAATGTAGGGTATTACCAAGATGGCTAATAACACCAATGAGCCTATAAGCATAATGATCTCTTATCTTGGGATTTGGTTTCTTGGCTTTAGCTTCTGTCATCTTCTTAGCTAAAAAGTCTTTGTGTCCCAGGTTTTTATTGGAACTCGATGCACCGTGGGAATTCTCATTGGCCTCCTGGAGACTTAATTCTGTAGGTCTTGTAAGGTTATCTGTGTGGCACTGGGCATCTGTCTTCGGAAGGCTTTGAAGCAGTGCCTGCCAAAGGGCTTCTTCATAGATTTTCAGCTTTTCACACTGTGGAGTCTGTCCAGGCACATTTGAGAACTCTTCTGAAATTTTGTTTTTCTCATCTTCAGAAAAATCTTCAGTAGTCTCCGTGACACTATCAACAGCTGCAAACATACTGGATTTCTCATATTTCTTTCGTTTTGGATTTCTAGGGACTTCTTGAAGATGAACTTCTGCAGATGTGTCTGGGCCACTGGTGGGTTTACCTTCATCTTCATGGACCACAGAAAGGTTGGTATTTTCCAGATTCCTCATTAAGCCTGGAACTAATAGCTCTTTTTCAATGGCTGTGCCATATCCTGAGTTTACCAAGAGGGACTCTGCTGTAGTCAGTTTAGAGTGTTTTCCCAGGTTGTTTTGCTTCTGTTCTTTGCTTAACCCAAAAATCTGGTCCTTTTGTGGTTCAGACTCTTTGTCTGATTCAATGTGTGGAGCCAAGCAATCCTTGGATTTTGAGGTCAATTTTGTTGAAGGTGTCAATGACTTAAGGATTTCAAAATTAATGTTATGAAAGAATTTTAACAAATGGAAATCCCTAATATGTACATTTTTGTTTAAGGGAAAAGGTGGTTTGGTACTTTCAGTGCAATGAGAAGACACCTTCAAATATTTAGAAATAATGACTTCCTGGTCATCCTTCCTTAACGACCAGAACTTATTAAAACTATAGCGTTTCAGATGAATAATGAGGACCCTGGGTAGCCTACTGAATTTGTGCATTGAAACAGAAGTCTTGTGGTTACACTTCCCACATTTATACTCAAGCTCTTCTGCTCCAAAGAAAAGATCAAAAGTAGATTGAATAGACAAAGGATGTGTTTTTTTTCCTTGGGGAAGGTTGATGGAGAGATAATTATTAACTTCTGTCTTGAGAACAACCTGACCACAGGCTTTACAAGTAATAGAGTGCAGCAACTCAACCTCAAAATTAGTGGTGACAGGACAAACAAGCCTTTTGGTGACATCATTGTCAGCAAAAAACTGTTGGGGTGAATTTTCTTCCTCAGATTCAATTTTAGTCTTCCAAATTGTATTTAATTTTTCCATGTTGCCTTTCATCTGATCTAAACAGTGACCTAAAAACTCATGAGCATCATTCTGTGTGTTGTCAGAGAACATCTCTGCAACTGTTGAAATGGCATTTTTAATATTGATAAGTAATCTCTCCTTGGTTTTTACGCTATAAATGTCTTTCAAAACAAGCAAATGTGATAGGCACAAACTAAGAGCATCAAGAGGGATTTCACTCCATGGGGAACCCTGATAGAGTAAATCATAAGCAAAAGGTGGAATAGAAAATAGGGACTGTAAAACTGCATTCATGTAACAGGTGTTTCCCAAATTGGGGAGGCCTTGACATAGTTTCTCTGGGTAAAAGTCAAAGGTCATCTTGAGTTTCTCCCACTCTGGATCATCCTCACTACATAATGATTTCAATAGAAGTATCATATATATTTTCTCAGCGAGAGTTTGAAGAAAATAAGTGCCATCTAGGTAAGGGTTTCCAGTAGGATTGGTCTCGAATAAATAATCCAATTTCTTACTTTCTTTTAACTCTTTCAACCACATTTCTTCCTTCTCATCATCAGTTACATACTTCAAGGGATTTGTCTTGGATTTCTTGTTTCTTACAGATTTATTCTCTTCCTGAGATTTCCCACATATATCTGAATCAGATGATGCCATCCTTTTCCTCTTCCTCGATCCCTCTTTTAATAACTCGTTGAAAGTAAGCAGTGATAATTTTGATGTATCCAAAAGCAACTTCTGAAGGTCAGGTGTTCCACTTCCTTCTCTTAGCTCAAAAAATCCACTTACTAACTTCTGATAGATTTTGTCAAATAAAGTTTTATTGATTTTCTTCTGTGTTTTTGTTCTGGAGAAGACACTTCCACCCATATCAGTTCTGAAGGGTGACTGAAGATTATTTTGATGGACTCTATCTAAGAACATTGTCAAATTTTTAGCATCTCTAGAGGATAATTTTCTAATAAACAAGAAGCTAGTATTTTGGAAAGTTAAATGCAGGTAATTTTGATTTTCTCCATAGGATCTAAAGACTATGTTTTTAATATTATTACCTAGCTGAAAAGTTGTATATTCTCCAGTGCTGAAACGAATCACCAATCTAGCTTTCTTCTTTCTTTCCACTGTTTCAATAAATGCTTCTTTCAATTTAGACATCCCAGTATCCATGTTCCATATTTGAACAAAACCATGTGCTATTATAGCAGCCATATTTTCTTTACAGATAAAATATATGTATCCTGAATTATTGACAAACTTGAAGTTCCAAATTGTTTTGCAAATTCACCTCTGGAGACAACACTAAAGCAATGGTACCTTAGTTCTCTATACAGAGTAATTCTATTTCTAGTGTTGGTTTTATACTAGAGTCTCTTCAGGTTCTGGATACCCACATCTTTAGTGATAAAACCAATATCCTTCAAGAGCTGTCCACAGTTGCATGAGGGCAGAGTCTTGATTCCCAAAGTAAGGCCACTACTGAAAAACAATTAAGAAAAAATTATTTAAGCTATCAGAGAAATGTTTGGCTAGAATTCAACTCTACTCCTATACACTAAATCTCTTTTCCACTGCAATACTAAATTAATTCTGTATTAATTTCCCCACTTCAACTGACATAATTAAACACTTGGAAGGCTTTCAATACATAGGTGAAGAGCATAATGAACAGTGTCTCAAGTGTATGCATATAATATATTAATCCTCCTGTCATAGAATGACCCCACAGGGTAACCACAATAAGTGAATAAGAAAGTGGGAGGCACTATGTGGCCCTCAACCCAATAACAGATGAATATCTCTATTTTATTTTTAATCCTCACCCAAGGATAGGTTTATTGATTTTAGAGAGAAAGGAAGAGAGAGAGAGAGAGAGAGAGAGAGAGAGAGAGAGAGAGAGGAGAGAGGAGAGAGAGAGAGAGAGGAAATGAGATGAGATAGAAACATCAATTGGCTGTCTCTCATATATGCCCTGACAGGGGATCGGACCTGCAATCTAGGTACGTGCCCTTACCAGTAATCAAACCCAAAACCTTTCAGTTTACTGGATGACACTCCAAGCAATTGAGCCACACTGGCCAGGGCCAGATGAATATCTCTTGATATTCAGAAATCTATAGGACTTTATACATTGACCACTAATAGTTAATCAGTCTACCTCCTTCCAAATGCAGTTATGTTCCTTTCTTTCACATGGAACTGGGGAAAGTCTACACACTCTACCCCATGTGGGATCCTAAACTATCACTGCTTAAAGCAGGTTTTAAAGAACAGGCTATCTCTAGCTCCCACATGCTAAGATGACCTGGTATGGTCTAAAATATCCACATTTTCATGATAAGTGCCGGGTAATTAAAATTTTGAAGTCATGCTAAGCAAGACTATGAAAAACTCATCACAATTTTGAAAGTAAAATGATGACCGAGAATCAGTTCAAGATTGTGTTTACTATGCTTTACTACTGAATAAGCAAACACAAGTATAAAAGATTTATAAAAACAGGATGTGATGAGTGGAGAATTTCCTATTGGCTCAAATGTTGCCTTCACTGTTACTATGGAGGTATGTCCAAAGTTTCAAGGTCAGTATAATCCATGTAGAGTGAAGAATTCCCCAGGTTAAAAAAGGAAAGAAGTCAATGGCCTGGTATCCTTTTGGCCTTTATAACAGGGGCAAAACCAAGTCAGCACTCAAACATCCATAAATTTCTTACTAAGTCCTAATTAACATATTTCTACTTTCTGTTCCTTAATGCATCACTATATGGCCTAGAAGTAAACTGGTTGTGCTCAACATGGGTGAAATATGTACTCAGCAGACCATCTCCAGGATCTTTGGTCCTGTTTTTCTCATACCTGCAAGTATGTTCATATTCACCTGTCTAAAGTAGAATCACCAGTAGATTCCAAGGATCAGCTGGGCTGAGAAGTACTGTCAAGAAGCCTTATAGTATACCTGGACCACAAACATAAGCAAATGGGAAAATCATATGAAACAACTTCTAGCAGGCCTTAGGTCTCATAATCTCTTTTCCATAAATTATTATGTGAACACCATCAGAACATACTTAGCCATCCATGGACAAGTAAATACAAGGCATTTTACCCAGAACCTGGGCAAGTAAGTGTGAGATCTGTTTTGTGCTCCAGACAACATGGAATTCAACTGTAAAGTAACCATTTTCATCATCAGAGTCTAGCATTGTTCTTCTTCTGATTGGCCAGAATTGCTTCCACATTCTCCACCAATTGACTACATTTTGCAACTAACATAAAATGCCTGGTATTCCCCTTCCGCAAGCTAGAGTAGGTCAATTTCTTGAAGTAATACCATTTCTCTACTCCCCAGTTGCCTTCCTTTCAAACCACCAGTGAGACATATATGCCAACAAGTTGGGTGTATCAAATTTTCCTAAATTGGGTCATTTCTGGCATGAGAACTCGAAGCATTCTAATCTCAGTCCAAGAACTCTCCAAACAAGTTCTTAGGCTTTGCAAACACACCACTCATCTTCCCCTTAGCAACATTTCATTAGTCTCACTAAGTGATAAATCTGTAACCTCAATTCTTTGCATATTAACATTTCCATGTGCACTGCCTGCTTCAGGACAAGCCAGATGAATCTGACAATTCTGCTCAGTATCTGCTGGGGTCCCTAACATCACCCTAACAGTAAGTAAAAGGAAACAGGAAACAGTAAGACAGCAAGTCACTGATGTAAGGAAAGAGAAAGTCCAATCAGATTATGAGGAACAGCACCATGACACTGGACTAAGGTCACCACATCCTACATGTAAAAAGTCAAGGTAGAACCACTAAGTGTTCCAGAAAAAGTTAAAAAAAAAAAGGCCCCACAGCCAAAACCGGTTTGGCTCAGTGGATAGAGCGTCGGCCTGCGGACTGAAAGGTCCCAGGTTCGATTCCGGTCAAGGGCATGTACCTGGGTTGCGGGCACATCCCCAGTAGGAGATGTGCAGGAGGCAGCTGATCGATGTTTCTCTCTCATCGATGTTTCTAACTATCTCTCTCCCTTCCTCTCTGTAAAAAAATCAATAAAATATATTTTAAAAAAAAGGCCCCACAATGAGTAACTCACTCTTGCTTGTCAAATGTTCAACATGGTCAAAAATATACAGAAAACTTTCAGCCAAATATCCCAGCTTTCCAAAAACATATGTGACAAGGTGTTCAAGACAAGGACAGACTTTTGAGTACTAAGTAAGTAAAGGAATTATTTCCAAAGCCCTGAATTTTCTAGGAAGATATGAAAATGGACTTCAGATATATTGCTGTCCCTAACAACCAATACATCACCCTGTTGGTGATGAATATTTCTCCCTAAAATACAATGGCTCCTTCCAAAGGCCACAAAAATAAGCCCACTTATATTGAGCACTGAACACATATGTTAAAAAGACATTGTTTAGAGATCCTTCAAAAATTTTGGCTATGAGTTATCAAAATCAATGCCCCCCACTGCCTGCTTCTTCCACACTTATCCCTCTATAGGACACCCTAGTGACTCCAAAAAAGTTATATTAGTGACATATCCCACAGACACCATGGTCAACTCTAGAGTATCTGGCTCATTGGCAAAAATAAGTATAAGTAACAATTTCTTGCCCATCATATATAGATTAGAGAGGTTCCTACAGCTAGCTCTGGCCACAGGGCCCACATAATCTGAGCTAAATCCCTATACTCAAACCAGTGGGGGAGGTTCAGATATACTTAATCACTCAAAATTAAAAATTTCTGGATAACTAAGTAGTGAACCAATCTGAGTTAATAAATAGGTTGGCACATAGCACAACAAATGCTTATATCAAAAAGCATGTGACCAAGAATTGATTAGAAGTTATGTTTTCTCCTACATAGTTAAATATTCTTCTTAAATCTTGTCTATGTTATTAACTTTCTCAGCAAATCTGGTTTTTATGAGTAATACCAAAGGAAACTTCTGCTTAGTCCCTGTCCAAATTATCAAAAACTAAAAATTCGTGGAATCAACTAATGAAATTTTTGTTTTATCAAATATTTTATCTATTAAGCTATGTTCAGGGAAGTAGGGATTGCACCCATCCATATACAAAAGTGTACATGAATCAAAGTGAGAAGACAATCATATTTATCATGGTGGAAATGGGGCTGAAAAAACATTCAAGCATAACTGCAAATTCAAGAAATCTGGATTATTTATATATAGTTCTCACTGTCCTACTTTAATGCTTAGTAATAGTTTAAACTATTTCTTCTCCACACAAAAAAAGTATTAATTGTTCCAATTTTGACCACTTGAGAAAATGAACATGTAACCCCAGAACCACTTCCAGTCTGCATTCACATTTTTTAATCACAGCTGATCTGTATTTATCAAGAATTGTAATTTCTAATGATAGCTGAAACAATCTCAGACCCTCTTGACATTTCCATTCCCTGCCTTCAAAAACACATTTAAGAGACACATGTATCAAACAATGATGTTTCTGTTCATCATTCATTCTTCACAGTTCAACCTGCTTACATTCCATTCCAGAATAAAGGAGACTTCCTTGAGCCCACTGAGCATTAAGATTAAGAAACATCTTGCTGGCCCTGGCCGGTTTGGCTCAGTGGATGGAGCGTTGGCCTGCGGACTCAAGGGTCCCAGGTTCGATTCCGGTCAAGGGCATGTACCTTGGTTGCGGGCACATCCCCAGTGAGGAGTGTGCAGGAGGCAGCTGATCTATGTTTCTTTCTCATCGATGTTTCTAACTCTCTATCCCTCTCCCTTCCTCTCTGTAAAAAATCGGTAAAATATATTTTAAGAAAATAAAAGAAACATCTTGCTGATGCACAGCTGAGGGATCTAACCACTGCTCACTTTTCCTAGCACATTTTTAGCTTAAATTAGCTGCTTGATTCTGTCTCATCACCCAAAGGCTTTTGGGGCTTCTTTTGATTGCTCTTTTTAAGAAGGTTTTAAACTAAAATGTATCAGTTCTCTAAGACTCTACTGAAGAGCACTATGTGACTATAAACTTCAGTAGTAGTGATATTCCTCCTCCCTTGCCACTCCCACATCACATTAAAAATATATGGATGGTAGCTATATTCAAAAGTTAGCCCAGGCCAGTGTGGCTAAGTTGGTTGGAGTGTTGGCCCATGCATCAAAAGGTGGTGGATTTGATTGCCAACTGGGGCACATACCTGGGTTGCGGGTTCGATCCCCA